CTTTGTCCCGTGACATACCATAATCTGTGAAGCTTTTGAAGCTGTCAGTACAACTGATTAGCTCTTAAGCGTGTTGGTTTATCAATGAGATAACCCAGAACTGATTAGTTTAGCTACAAACACTTCCGCTCAACTAGTTTTCGCCCCAGAGGGCGCCGCTCGCATCCTCTTGAGTCCCCTCTAAGTCTTTTTAGTCCAAATATTGTCTCCCCTTCTCATTATATGAAATGCTAGTTGTCGTTTCGCTATCATTGTGCAGTCTCTTGCATCTCGGCGATAGTGGAGGTTTCATATCAAGATCTCAAGCGCGCATTCCGACTATATGTTGCTATTCCCGACTATTTTCCAGAAGACACTGTTCAAGCGCTTTGTGAATGATGCGCAGTGTTCCTAGCGTGGATGAAGTATCAAAAAAAGTCTCTAGTGCATAGAAGAGTGCTGAGAGGACCGATTAGATGAGAAGACGAGGGCAGGGTTTTCGGTTTGCTAGCTGGTCGATGGCTTCTTTGAGAGGTCCGTAAACAGCCAATTCTTCTCTCGTTGATCCATATAATTCCTCCTTCAAGTTGCTTTTCATGATAAATAAATTACCACACGTACAAGGTAATTTTCGTAATCATTTGAACCTTTCAATACAATGTGTACAACCTCGCATCGCATGGGTTTTCCACAAACTGGGTTTTCTAGCGACTTGTGCGTTTTCCAATCCTTTTTTCCGTTTCGTTTTGATCATTGGTTATCATTTCTGCTTCACTGGTACTTTTCGAAAGGGCGAAGATGTCACCAGCATAGCGAGTGCTTCATAGGAATTTTCTACTAATGCGTATGTACTTCTCCTCCCCTTGCTGAGGGTCCACTATGTAGTGCAACACGGCAGCAGACATCTTTGGTCAAATTGCGTCGCCTTGTCGAACCTCTTATCCTTTGGCGTTGGTGAAACAACGATGGCTCATCGCGTACTCCGTCAGAAAACATTGATAAGGATCGATGTATCAATGTTGCCAGCTAATTTCTACATAGCAAGGATGGTTTGACTCCTGTAGCACTGTAGGTGGCAGCAGCATGACAGGGCACAGAGATCGGCTATATTAGAACACACAATATACACATAATGTACCGTTCAGTTCACATGATAGCAGCGTTATAACTACTTATATGTAACAGTTCCCAGGATCGACTTTCTGTTAAGCTAGGCATTGGATTACAAATATCTCGTTTTCTTTTACGTTTTCAGCAATCGCGAGGTTGTTATTCAGCACACGTTTACTTCCTTACAAGAAGAACTCTTAGAACAGAACCTTGTAAGGAACTAAACGTTTGCTGAATAAGAACCTCGCAATTGCTGAAAAGGGATGAAAGAACAAGATGTATAAATGTAGTTAATTTATTGTCTCCCTTATATGCACATGTACCACGTTGAGTGCCTTTAAGACCTCGACACGTCCTCGACTCTAGTTTGTCTGTTGTGCACATAACAGCATTTTTTAAAATTCGGTTCGTTGCCTTGCATCTGTCATCAATGATTTTTTCCGAATTATTGCATGTGACGCAGTAGTTGGAGGCGCCACTACGATACGCAAGTGGAATCGATCCCCGCGTCCATGGCCCACCAATCCTTCCATCCCTCTGGGGTCCGCAAATTGGTACCAGACTTGTCTGGGAGGTTAGTATGCATTCAATCACCTCCAGCGATACTTAATGAAGTCGAATGCATGGCGCATCCCTCAGGGATTGATCAACGCCGAGAGCTTTAGAGCTTTTAGCTTTATTGCGTATCCAATCGGTTGCCACTTGAGAACTTTGTCTTCTTCATGAATGTCGTTGAACTCCGATCAAATTGATTTTTCCTGAAGTCTTCGGATAGCAACAGCGCTGACATGTCTTTAGTACGGAGGCAGTCGGTCGCTAACTAATCTCTATCAGCGAAACCTTTCACGTTGCAAGTCTGCTAGCATTTGACAACCATGGAAGGACAGAATGCGTGGGGAAGATAGCAAGCCAGCAACCATGCAAATATTTTTTTACATGAATCTGCGGACCCGGGTAGTGATGTCGTTTAATGCGCAAACGCCCCAAACTACTAACATTGGAATTGGTTCGAACCCAAACCAGGCGCACCAAGCCTATTATCCACTAAGATCAGGAAATTCGTCCCAGACTTACCAAAGACAACATCACTCCCTCTATTCCACGAATAAACTCCACTAACGTTCATTAACATTCACGACAAAGACTAAAAATCCTCAAGCGGCAGCCAAACCCACGCGCGGAAAAAGTTCGAAGACTTTCTTTGATGATGGTGGATGCGAGGAAACGAGTCCTATGCAAGAAGTCCTGCAATCCTCACGGTGTGATACATGTAATGTCGGATCATGTAATAATAAAGAATAATAATAATTTTCGGATCCCATTCGATCGATGTAGGTTTGGCTATTGCACCATGATTTTGGCATTCTTTATGAATATAGTTGAATGTTAACAGAGTCGACTTTCGATACACGCAAACTGATGCGGAATAGCCATAACACGGTGTTCACACGCCTCGTAGATCAAAGGGAAGTTCGGAGAAAGGTCTGGCACCACGACTCCGATTTCTGAGATATCCGGCCTTGATTTGAATGGCGCAGAATCAAGCCAGCGTCCTGAGCGCAGTGACCAGCACCACTACCATTGCGATAATCACGCCTCTTAACCCTCTTGCACCAGCGCCTCCAATTACAAAGCCTTACAAAGCCTTATGCGTCACTATAATACGGGAATGGCCTGAATAGCACAAACTAGCATTGAACCCAATTCACCTGAAGTTGCAGTCGAAAGCGCAATGTGTAACCTTCACTTGCTGCCCACACTACTGATAGCACCAAAAGAGCAAAAAAGTGACTGAGAGAAAAGAAAAGCAATGCTCTTGGTCGGTGTGGTGGATGGCACATGATCCCCGGTAAGGGTAATCGCAGGTTCGAACTCCAGTCGAGGTCACAAGTTTTGCTCATATCTTAGCATCCTTGTGGTTGTAGTTCACATCGTACCCTGCCGCTTTATAATGAATAAACTTTGGTCAAATCGCTTCCGTTCCATGAATTAGAATGGACCTTAACAGTTTAACGTTTTGTTTTCTGCCTTCTATAATTTTCATGGCAGGTTACTAAGCGAAATACAACCACAACGTTGCTGAGATATTTGCAAAACTCTGGACCGCAGGTGTCTATGGTGGGGAACGAACGCGCTATTGTCCTTTCCGGGGAGTAACGCGTTCACCACCACACCATGCGGGTCCTTTGTTTGAACCCCGCTGACGGGTGATTGCTGTGGCAAAAAGATCGATAGAAATAGCTGAGAGACGTGCGAAACAAAGGACCTTAACAGTTTAACGTTTTGTTTTCTGCCTTCTATAATTTTCATGGCAGGTTACTAAGCGAAATACAACCACAACGTTGCTGAGATATTTGCAAAACTCTGGACCGCAGGTGTCTATGGTGGGGAACGAACGCGCTATTGTCCTTTCCGGGGAGTAACGCGTTCACCACCACACCATGCGGGTCCTTTGTTTGAACCCCGCTGACGGGTGATTGCTGTGGCAAAAAGATCGATAGAAATAGCTGAGAGACGTGCGAAACAAAGGACCTTAACAGTTTTTATCTATTGCAATTATTTTCATTATTACGAAAAATTGCAGAGATCAGCATATAATCGCGTGAAATTCCATTGCAACAGAAAAGCTTCAGCAGTACATCGTTCCTGTAGCTCACATGTCAGGACAAAAACTCGTGTGAATAATTTGCATATGATCACTCTAACCAAATGTAAATGCCATAATAGCCAAAACCATTACTCAACAATAACTGAATTGTCTCAACGAAGATGATAGTACCGTATATGCAGTAAATGTGGAGGTCGCCATTCGACAAAGCAATGACAACAACAGTAACCAGCTGCAATCGCAAATGGATTCCACCTCAACACTGAAAACCCATTTGGTGGACCGTCATAATAGTAGTGTACGTGGCATCATGAAATACTTTTAATTCCGCCTGGAGACCTAATCCAATATAGTCTGAAAATGACAGGCGTTGGAAAAGTTTATAACCCACTGTAATCTTCCAATAACCATCCCCCTTTCCAACGCTATGCATTGTCTTAGGCAATCACGAACCAGGTTTATTCACAAAGGCATATTTACAAGCAAAGCTAGTCATAGAAATTGCAAAAACACTATATATATATATATATATATATATATAATTCTTCTTAGGTAACTCGTTGAGATGATACGAAAGCATCGACACAATGTCAACACTAAGATCTTACTATTGAGCTCCAATACACGTTAAAAGAAACACATTCATTTATACACAGGCATTATGGTTTGGAATGAAAGTGATAGAACATCACGATCGGTTAAACCCATTCGAAGAAATTACACTTATTCGGTTGACCCATGGGCTTGGAACACGTCCAAAACTTCCTACCCTTATTCTGGCCCTCCTTCACCACTGTTCGCTGAATCGCTGACGTTCCACAAATACACACCTTGCTTACCGAGTCTGATGGAGGGCGTGTACTATTAGTTGTTTGCCCTTGAACGTCACCTAAGATATTCAAAGTCATTTCTAAGAAGCACTGAATTTAATAACTGTAGTAACAAGAGTGTTCTGTAATCTCACAACTTTACAGTTCACAGCATACCGCACTAGTTTTGGCGTAACAAACAATAGAAAGCCCACCTTTACGTCTCGCTGTACGTGATCGCCTTTGGCGCATACGGTTACCTCGTACGCTATCGGAAGGTACTCCATGATCGGGAACCTACCAATAAAGGCTATGTAGTCCGAAAACGTAAGAAGAAGTAAGGACTAAAAATTTCAAGAAAAATTCGGACTTCAGTAGACGTCACAGAAAATTTCGGAAACTCCCACGTCGTGAAGTACGCGGATAAAATTGTCATTTGTACACCGTAATACATAATACATATAATACATGTACACCAGATGCACTTTTGTGCGTTAAAATGAATGACACATCACCTCGTAAAATTTCAGGCTAAATATTTCCAGACATTTTCTATGATATCAATTATTATAAAAAAGAAGAAAACACTAAGTATCATCAGGCTACTTCTCCTGAATAACTAACTGTTAAATAGCTCTCCACTGCTGAACAAATGTGAGGGTTGAAATAGAGACATTTAAAAAAGTTTTTTTTAAAAATATCTACATACCTGAACAGGATCGCTTCGGGTCGACTGTCGATTATTTCTTCGTCTAGATGTTGTTGCTTGCCTATGTTCTAACAGTTGGTTACTTGTACTAGAATGTGGGACCCCATTTTCAACAGCGCTCGAATTGGAATTCAAATATCTGAAGTGGAACATGGATTGAAGTACGAATATATAAAGAAGAAAGCCAAAGAAGTTAAGAAAAGGAGCGTAAACAAATAGAAATACGAAACATAATAACGTAAGAACGTAAAACCTACGATTTGATGAGAAATTTGGAAAGGCATGCAAACAGCGCGAGTTTTTCAATTAAGAACGCAGTCTTAACCTTTTTATTTACTGCCTATTCCTTTTTAACGGCAGGGTATGTTGCGAAATGTAACTATTATAATGCTGAGATATTTGTAAAACTCCTGACCGCAGCTGCCTGCGGTGGAGAACGAACGCGTTATTGCCCTTTCCGGGGAGTAACGCGTTCACCACCACACCATGCGGGTCCTTCGTTTTGCCTGTCACTCAGCTAGTTCTATCGATCTTTCGCCATCAACAATCACCCTCAACGGGATTGATCTGGGGAGCCCAAATCGGCATTGAACCCACAACTAAACCTTTTTTTCTTCATAACTTTTGATTCCATTTTATCATCAAAAGGTGATCCTTAGAGCCGAATTGACCTATAGGAAGCATTTGGTCTTAGTCAAGGCCATTTTATTTATAAAGGACTTAGAAGTTCCAACCCGAAATAGAAGTAAACTTACGACATTTCATACTAGAGCACTCGAGTCATACATTAGAAATTTTTCTTTCATTCCCAAAAATCACAACCACGATTAGTAACGGCATCAGAACCTAACATACACTAGAGAGGTTGCACAAATAGACTAAATTTCGAGCTGAAGGGCAAGTTCAAGTGGTCCAAAAACACCGGCTTAATGATGGTACCATTATTATTCATAGAGAAAAAAATTCATTATGTACGTGAGACCAGTTCTGCCCTTCATCTATTGTCTTCGATTCAGATGGGATCTTCACATCTCTAGATATCGTTCTCCAATTCTCGATAACACGGTTACCGCTTGCAGTATCTAACAGTCTCGTGACGATGTATAATTTTTCGCCGCGCTCACTGTGACACCAATGGATGTTAAACCGGCCACTCCGGTAGTTTTCATGCAGTTCCGCCCACTTTTGTTGTGTGTTGCGTTCCACATATCGGTGATTCTCTGCGTTTTGGAAGTATCTCTAAGCTTCTCTTATCCTATGCAAGCTTCATTTTCTATAGATCATTCCACGTTTTTCAACACCATTACATGTTTAGTGTTCCTAAACAGCTCTCGTCTATGAAGAAAAAACACTGGTCCCATATATAGTTACAGTACTGTCACTAATTAATGAAGTAAGTGTATAAAATGATGATAATAATGATATAAAGAGAATTACAATGTCTCCCTTGCGATTTTCACATCTCATTCGAAACAATATCAAAAAGTTATGTTTTTTTACTTTATTTAACCCGTTTTCACGTCTCCTGTGCGTATTCCAGCACTTCTCACATTCAATTCGTTTCGTCGCATCCATCATCAACAAAGGCCTCCCAAATTTTTACGTGTGACTTCGGTTGCTGTTTGAGGATTTTCCTTTCGTCGTGAATGTCGCTGAATGGTGGTCAAATCGATTCTCTCTGGAGTCCTGAGATTGGCGGACTGGAACGTTCCCCAAAGTCCGGTAGCGATTTCCCAACCCTGGATGGAGGGAGGACAGGTTTGGTTGGCTCGGAGCGGAATCGGACTACACACGCTCCTGATGACGTGATGACGGGCATCACTATCACTATGGTATCCGCCCCCTAAAAGTTATCGTTACGACTGAAAATTTGAAAACAATAAATTGCTTGTCAAAAATAATGCCATGCACTGCGTTCATTGCCATTTCTTCGAGGCATTTCGGCTGCCCTTCACTGGCTACATGCTTTAGGCCACACTGTCTTCAGTAACAATGATCTATCGCAGCAAGAAGAGAAATTATTTCGAAGACATCCTTTCATGGATCACGACCGCCATACCATCTGCGTTGGGTGGGCTATTGATTGATTTCAAGAAGTGGAAATTGTGCTGGGGCCCGAACAACCAGTGAGGACGGACCATCCAAGTATCCAAGCATATATATATATATATATTATATATATACGTATGTGTACACTTGTGCATGTGTGCGCATGTGTATATACATATATATATATGTATATATATATATGTATATATATATATATGGATATAGATATATATAATGCAATCACACTCATTCACATCTAGATTGCACCTCAAGAACCGAAGCTTATTGAATCCATGACAGACATAGACTCTTTGATAAGATCTTGTTTACAAGGAGAGGAAAAGATATCCATAGCAACCTACACGACCAATAAGAGTACCTACCAAAATAATAGTCCTAACCTTACACTTAGGTTACTCACTTTTGCAACATTTCTGACAGTAAACCGATTTTCATCTCAGTTTGCAGGAATATTCTCCGATACTTTTCCAGTTGCTCATCCAAAACCTGCAAATACCATTTAACAATAATAACAAGAACTGCACTAAAGTGAACGATGTATTCAATAGCTAGCCTGGCCTATCACCTTCCAAGTGACTCTGGAAGATGGAGCTCTTCATCTGCATGAGTATTACAAGTCCTAAACTCCGAAAAACGAAGACAGTGTTTTGTGGGTCTTACAAAGACCTTAGTTCGTGGTAGCAGATTAAAAAAAACTTTTACATTGTTAATAAAGCACTAAGGGATCCATCAAATTTCATTTCAACAATACAAAAAGCGCTAGAAGCTGAAATATGTTTCCGGTAGTTGAGAGGTACGACCATTTGCGGGCACACAGGCATTGAAACCAATGCATGATGAAATGGTAAAGCGTTCTGCAGTGATCAATCTCTTATTGATGCGTCATGCATTCAACTCCATTAAGCATTGTAGAAATGAGTGGATCTCGTCTACACAACGACTTGCGGAAACATACTGATATGCCAAGGTGCTTTTGGTCTCCAAGATAAATATGGTGCCAATATGCAGGTTTTACAGTAATAAACAGCTTGGTTTTCCCAGAAAAAGAGATTGGACGGATGACTCTACACGTGTATTGTAAAGGACTATTTCGGTACAAGCGCTACTCATTTGTCAACATAAAGCATATACATAAGCAAGAATGACAGAATGCTTAGTTTCTATAATGCTGAGATATTTGCAAAACTCCGGACCGCAGGTGTCTGCGGTGGGGAACGAACGCGCTATCGTTCTTTCCGGGGAGTAACGCGTTCACCACCACACCATGCGGGTCCTTCGTTTCGTCTGTCTCTCAGCTAGTTCTATCGATCTCTTGCCATCAGCAATCACCCGTCAACGGGATTGATCTGGGGAGTCCAAATCGACATTGAGCCGAGCTAAGCTGAGGCTTTAGTTATGATCTCAATCTTAACCTTCTTATTTACTGCCTATTCCTTTTAAAGGCTAAGTATGTTGCAAAATATAACTTCTATAATGCTGAGATATTTGCAGAACCCCGGACAGGAGAAACGAAGGACCCCCATGGTGTGGTGGTGAACGCGTTGCTCCCCGGAAAGGACAATAGCGAGTTCGTTTCCCACCGCAGACACCTGCGGTCGGGAGTTTCGCAACATACCCTGCCGTTAAAAAGAATCGGCAGTAAATAAAAAGGTTAAGAGAACGCTTAGTTTTTAATATATCTAGTCACAAGCTAAAAATTAAAGAAGAGAAAGCAAATGAAAAATGAGATTATGAAGATATTTGTAACTCCAGTTTTCCTATTTGTATATTCGCTGACGTAGTAATGTGGCTTGCTTTGTGAAAAAATTGCAGTTGATGGTCAAGCAAACGTTTGAAATCTTACAATCGGCCTCCTAATTAGTGCAGCTTCGGATGGAAAGCTAGGTCGACTTGAGTACGGTAATCGGAGCGACATTATTTATTATTTATTTTTCATCATTCTTCAAGCAGTGGTTTATGGAATTTCGTTTAGTACGTCCTCAAAATCAAGGTCTTCGGGAAGAAAAGTGGAAAAACATGTGTGTATAAACCATACGAACCCATGAAAAACAACTGGAAAAGACTACTGCATGCCTATCACCCAACCTGGCGAGAAAAAAAATGCGAAAATAGGTTACCTTGAACCGCTCCATCTTAGAGCACATTTTAGGGCTTCTTGCGAAATAGTAGCGGAGTATATGGCGATAGGGACAAAAGGCATCGCAGAAAAGTTTGTGTGGAAAAAGAAACGAGCGAAAGAAAGTATATAAGAATCATTGCACACCATCATGAATGTGGAGCTAGAACGGAAAAGAAAAAAAAATGCCTAGATATTCAGCATTATTTTTGAAACAGATTGAACACAAAGATTCCTAAGTGCTTTTCTTCGATATTTCTCATAAAGTGGATCAATCAATGAAGCTGACAGAACACGGCATAAATTCATTTGATATAGAAATAATCAAAGAAATCAGAGATCTACTGGAGCAATAAAAGAGCGGTTAAATATTTACCTCCTGTTTCGTACGTTCCCCAGAGCATATCGCTTGTAGTTGACGTTCTAGATCAGCTCTTAATTGTGGCTTGGCTATTGCATAACCTACAAAAAGAGATCTAGCTACTAAAAATACGGCAACGACGAATATGAAGCCTTTATTACAAAAAAGGATAAAGTCTTTGGCGTTGATCAATCCTTGAACGATGCATCATGCATATGACATCGCAAAGCATCATTAGATTGAATGTATATCTGGCCTACACGGTAACTTGTAGTGGACTACCTATGTATCAAGTTAGTCCCACACCAGTCTAGCACCAATCCGCCGATGTTGGAAGAATGGAAGGCTTCTCGAATGTGGGACGCGGGATCGAACCACTGACGTCGTGTGTATTACAGGACACCTTGAACCACTGCACTACACACGTCGTCCTTTATACATTACATAAAAAGCACTAGAATATACGACTACCATTTAATTCTTTCAATTCACTGATGCACGTTTCTGGAAATGTAAACATATGAACATATTTGGAGGGAATTATGCACGACTATAAGGAACATATCAACTACGTCCGCGCATAATCACCGAAGGAGTGTGCAAGAAAAGAATAAGTTGTCACATCTACGTACTCATTGAGCATTCCATTTCTCTTCTAAGATCTTCAGAAGCATTCTGGTCACTTTGAGCATGGTCGTAATGTTCTGGGCACGATATCCAGCATGATCCAGCCATTACAGCTTTTGTGCACCGACTGTCCTTAAAGGGCAACATCCGCAAGGCCCACGTGATTTTCGACATTTTAACGCATACAGCAGAGTCTTTAGTCTTTGAGTGAGACCAAGCTAGAACGTTAGAATATTCCTCGCCACTGCATACCAAACCCATAGAAAAAGAGCTTTGACAAAGCGACATAATATCGCCAACGCCGTTCACTACCGCACCGCAAGGGATGATGACGTTGCTCGATTGTGACGAGAAGGACATACGTTTCTATGGAAAATTTTCCTAATGCTGGTCTCGCGGATGATATCACCTTTCGGAAGAGTACCAGTGAAGCAAGGACGCTGCTCAGTGAATTCAACTAGGTTAGAAAAATAATGGCACTGCGCATAAATAGGACAAGCAATCAGTTCATGAAGAACCCATGATGCAAAGGCGAACAAATGGAGCTGGATGGTTTTCGGATTAAAGAAACCATCTCGTACGCGTACCCTGTATGTTCAATGAACACGGAGAACAATATAAAGTAGGAATTAAGCAGAAGAAGGGCTTCATGGGCCACATTCGGAAAACTCAAAGAAGCCACCGATCAACTAAAGAACTCGAAAATCAGCGTTCACCTTCCCGATTCGACAGTCCTCCCAGCACTCTGTTATTAAACAAGAATATGGGCTGAAACTTCGTCTGGCGTCTGCCCGGAATGCGTGGCGCAGACCTTCGAAATCTACCCCATCTTTGGGGTCCAGGAGAATATAGATCGCTAGCGAAACACAGGACCAGTCACGTAATGAGAAGAGCAGACGACAGATGGACGAAAATAACAGTGGAGTGGACTACAAGAGAATGCAAGCGTCCTCTTGGAGGACCACCCAGAATGGGTGGGTCTATTCGTTGCTAACGTCTCAACCATTATCATTCGCAGACGAAAACGATTCCAGAATTAGGAAAAGGCCTTGGGGACGTTACCATATTCGAGGTAAGCCACCACCATGGACGACGATTGCGCGAGAGAGAAAAGCATGGAAACTATGCTGAGGCCTGCGCCATGATTGAAGACGTGCCGTCCAAGTATCTAAATACGTAAGTGTCTCGACTACTTAGGGCTCGTGTATTGAATTGGTTAGACAGCGGACTTCAATACACATTACACCGGCCGTTGGTTCGAGGTCAGATAAACATTTAATACCCTCAACGATGTTACGAATGAAGTTAAATGAAGGGAGCATTCTCTTAAACTAACCAATGCCGAAAGCCTTATACTTTAATCTGCTATCTTAACAACCATTCTTTTTTCAATCAAATCGTACTCTCTACCCATTGCATCGTATCCATCAACGAGTGCAAGACCAAGAAAACCAGGAATGAAACGTCCATCTTCACGAACTCCCACATACATCCTCGTCTAAATTAAATGATTCTAAACAGTAACTAAATCAACGAAATAAGTTTGATCGACCTTAATTTTTTCTATGTGCTCCGCATGAGTGGAGTCGGTGCCAATACCATATTTGTCCATCAAAGCAATCAAATCAGCTGCAATAGCAATAAAATTAAAAAAAAACTTCTTCCATTTCATTAAACCAATGGTTACTGGAAACAGTACGCTCTCAAGTCACCTTCATTGAGAAGCTCTGGTGGTTGTGTTTGTCCATCAGCGATTCGTAATTGGAAATCAATTAATTCTTCTCCTTCAACATACGTGGGCAATATTTTATCACTCCATTTGTCGTAAATATACACCTTTAAGTAACCTATAAATTCAAGTTGTGTTAAGAAAGAAAGATCTTAATATTCTTAGTACTTGATATCACACCATAGATATTCAATGCAGCGTTTAGATACAAATCCAAGACTATGAAGATACATAACTGAAAATCTAGATTGTACGTCAACAATATAGTTCTTAATAATTCAAAAGACCGTCTTTCTATAAACCTCGGCATAAATCGTTGATATATTTATTAACATAGTCTCATAAACTGATCGTGTTGAGCTTATGTCAGGCTGGTATAAGTTTTCGTTGTCGTTGTTGTTGGTGTTGTTGGTCGATGGCTCACGTTTCGGCGCATTCGCCTTCTTCAGAACCTGGACGTAGGACCGGAAAGAAGAATTCCTCACTATCACACGTGATCTAGTGGCTTATTTCAAAATGACTTTTTGACGCAGACTGGTCTCGCTCGCGACCCCACGCGAACAACGCGTGGACCAGTACCACCCGTAATAGCACGGTGAGTAACCTTTTTGATCAATGTGGCGTTCATCTGAAGGTTTGATCTTCATTAATACTACAAATATTTCACCGAACATGAGGCTAATGTTACATAAAATACATACAGGCTTTGAGGAAGGCGAAATCGCCGGAACGTCAGCCATCGAGCAACAACATTAACAGCAACGACGCCGACAACAACAACAACAACAACAACAACAACGGCAACGAAAACTTATACCAACCTCGCATCAGTTCAACAAGATCAGCCTGTAAGATCATATAAATAAATTAGTTCATGCCTATATACCCTTGCACATAACTTCTGGTTACATTCAAGCCCTAAACAAGTCAAACCTCCCAAACATCTACGTGATTCAAACGGAAGCATTTGTATGGAAAGGTCAACTCGATCACCACAAAGCTCACTGTGCGCCACAATGCCACGTTATATGAATTCATAAAGCAGATACGGAAGCAATTTTTGCAATGGAATTGACCAACACGAAGATCCTCTTTATCTCTTATGTAGACATAACGAAGTTTCGGATAGAAAGAAGTATATCTCTACTCTAATTGCGATAAACTTTAGAGCGAACCTCGGGAGATAAATGCCGTCGATAAATTTCTCAGACCGCAAAAAAAATTTAATACAGTTTTCATTGTGAATGTAACTCCTAGACAATAGAAAGACAGTACAGACGGTGTGAAAATAATATTAAGTGAATGTGTCACCTAAATCTTGGACGCACAGACCAGAAGCATGGAATGTTTCTCCTCCAATCCTCATCTAAAAAATATTTCGTATGTTAGCTAACAAGTAAGCAAAGAGCAACGATAATAATTAGTGGGAAAAAAATCGTATCTGGTCCGTTACCATAGTGTAGGGTGTATTAACCCGCACTTCTGCGATAGTCCTAGACCATTTTCGACGCAGACAACCACAAACTTCCAATTTGAACATGCACTCAAAATATTGAGCAGATTTTACATACGTACCCGGACATGAGTTTCCTGACCCTTAGCATCCCACGAAAGACACGCTAGAAAATGCCGTGCGATTAAATCATACACCCGCCTATCATCTCCTTGTAGTGAGTCACTGAAACGAAATAATTATACGTTTAAAGTGTCATCCATAAAAGCTGCTAAACATTGGTATTTTACAATTTTTGCTGACATCGAGAAAAATGGAGGGGAAAAACGCCATCTTTTCACATATTTTTTTTTAAATTTTCGTTTCGTCTCAGTTTAATTTAGGCTTCTATCGTTGTTCAGATGGTCCTAGTTGGTCATCCAGCATCAAGAACTAATTAAGGTGTTGGAGGCTAATTGCAGAGGTTTCCATGGTGAGGCAATAGAAGGTACTCCAACAAAGAGTTTACGCTTTTTGTAAATAGTTTGTCTATTTATGTATTTCACACGACCGTTCTTATTATCTATTCTGCGGATTCTAGCACTTCTTGCATTAGACTTCATTTTCTCTCACTCGCCATCCACGAAGGTATTGGGACATGTGGATTCGGCTGTTGCTTGAGAATTGTTGTCTCCTTCATAAATGCCCGTAAACGCTCGTAAATTCTCTCTGGAAATCTATGCTCGTTGTGGCTAGAGAGTTTCAACAGGTAGTGGACTGCTCCCAGACAAGTCTGATAGCAATCTCTCGACCCCAAAAGGATGAGAAGCTTGGTGGACACTGCGCGGGTCGATCCAGCACAGTGCTCGCGATGGATCACTACCGCCACCTTACCACACCACTTTTTTTTGAACATCTAACTCAGCTAGACTTCCACCTATTGAAAGTGCAACACGTTGAACAATGCAAAACGTATAAAAAGCTATGTTTTTTCCACAAAGATGATGAATTTCGTTATCTACTCGCTGAAACCCACTTTCCGCCTGTTAAACAGACGAAATAACACAAATGTATAGCAATGTATAGCAACGAGCAGGCCATAGACAAACCGTCACCTCCTGATGAGATGAAAATAACGAATAATCTTTATCCTGTTGTGGGAAATATTGGCGTGCCAACGTAAGCGATTAATGGAGTCCCGATCCTGCTGACAAAGGGATATCAATCGACTTAGGTCAAAATACAGGTTTTTTTTACCGCGTCAGTTCTTCGACAACTGTCCTTTTACCAGCCGACACATGGTGCTAAGTTGGTAGTTAATTGAATGCAAAACTGCATAGAACTCTATGCACCACTATAAATCACCGCAAAGAGTAATTGGAAACCAATTCATACAGGGGCTAATTCGCCCTTGCCTTAAATAAGACATAAGATCAACTAATGTAACCACGAATTCGTTAAAACATCCTCAATCATGCTGGTTTCTGGAAAACTATCTAAAAATTTTAATGAAGAACTTGACGAATTTAAAATATGACAGACTCAGAGAAGAGATTTTCCTTTACTTTTCTAATTATATAAGCACAGACAGACGTGGATACTAAGGCTTGGCGGCCCATGATGGCTTGTAGCGTAGTGGTTGGAGGCGTCCTGCAACACACGTGGAATCGATCCCCGTGCCCATGGCCCACCAAGTATTTGATCACTCCGGGATCGGCAAATTGGTACCAGACTTGTCTGAGAGGATAGCAGCACTGGCTCAGTACATCGATAGGCCACCGCGAGTCATTGTAAAGGCCTGATATGCATTACAGCTGCGCCTCTCAACGTCAAAAGACCTACCAAATCTCCTCGAAAACTAGGTTTGCTCACAAAAGATTAAAGTTGGAAGACGCCCTATATTTTCCCCGCATGCAGTGAAATCAATGCACACTATAACCAAAGCGTGTGAAGCAGCAAGTGGGAGTATGACAATTTTTGCAGTCCTTGGTTAAAACTGACATTGTATAAAATATGACTAATTTTAAATTAGACAATTTTCATTCAACGCATTTAGTCGATGAGGGAGTTAGATACTATGCCGCATTAAGTGAATGAATGTGCGGAATTACTCTAAAACAATACAACAACAATAAACAAAGCACTTATTTACCCGAGAATTACCTAAGCAGTTAATTTACTTATGGAAGATAAGACAATAACAACTCTCTCGAGATCAGTACAGTTGAATCTTACGAAACATTGGTGAATAAATGATGCATACTTGATGTACTACATACTTAATGGACGATCGTTCTCTCAGTCAATGATCAGTGCGCTGTTAAAGCTTATCAATGTGTAGTTTTCTCACCATGACACTCAGAAAATCAAAAGAGAAAAAGGACGAATTTTAATGCTTACCAAAAAAAAAGTCCGATACACCTGCAAACTAGAAGAAAGGAACATGACTTCACAGTCATCTTCTGATTAATTCTGCCGCGGATTGAAAACCTCGGAATTACAAAGCATGATGGTCGTCACACTTAAGGCTGAGTATAACTTTCCTGCTGCTGTTTGCGTACGGAAAACCTACTCAGTAACGCAATAGGTGTAAACATGATAGTTAATACCGACTGACATCAGCGAGACCAAAAGCGATACAAGCAGAATGAATCCATATTTAGTATCGTTGTATATTTTATATTACCGTGGTGTATTGGGTGCTAGTTCTCTCTTTCTATGATCAATTTTTAATTCTTCTTTCCATTTCTTTTTCTTTGATCGTTTGTCTACCACCATAAATGCTCACGCAAGGACGAAGGATAATGAAAAAAATCAACAATAATAACCATACTTATATACTTTGTCTCCATAAATGATAACAAATTAAGCAATTTTTACCCCGAAACCTGCTTTAGTGGATGGATTGGTGGATGAGCTTCGTCAGACTTTGTACCATTTCGCGGATTTGGACCGTATTCCAACACCTAAAATCCATTTCTAAAAAGTGAAAAAAACGTGAAAAAAAAACAATATGCTCAAATTGGCTTAACACTTCACCTCGGAAGCAAAATCACCCCAATCTGGAGAAGTTGCCAGTTGTCTCACCAGTGAAGACAAATCAATATCAGAAGCGAATTTATTTGTTTCCGTTCTAAAAAGTATGAATTATACCTCGTAATATTTGCATCTACGACTGCAGAATTTGGGAGATTCAAATGAATGAAACCCTATCAATGTAATGAAGAAGCGTGCAAATGATTTTAGAACTTAACCGTTATTTTAGATGAAAAGATAGGATATCTGGGGGTAAAGATAAGCGATAACGATCATTATGTTCATTATATAGATAGACGAAACCACTCCACCTGGGATATGATATATAACCCCTATTATAGAGTCTTTCTGCGATATCCATTGCTTTCTTCGCACTTATCTTCAATTTACGAACAGCTAGCTTCTCAAATTTTACGGTATCTAGTGGCTGAAAATGTACCCTATACCACAAAAATGCCAAAGAACAAGTACCAGTAATCAAAGAAAATTGAAACACCTGTGGTCGATAGTTAGTCTTCGGTTTAGAAGAAACGCTCTCAATCTTCCCACCTCGTGCTTCCATACAGTCATCATACAAGATCTAAACGATTCATCAAAATTTCTCTACATCTACAAATACAACTTTTCCGCAAATATCTTATCGGTCTTCTTTTTTTTAAAAATGAAGACTTTCTTGATGCCCTTCTTTCCACAATATATACGAATTCAAACGACAGATCTCACTCTACACTTTTTCTTGTTTCTGCTTTTACGTCAAGTACCGTTTAATTTATACTTCTGGGACAAAGGCGGAGAAAAACCCAATCTTGGATACTTTTTAAAGAATTCCAACTTGGACGTAAACCCACTGAAACTACTCGAAATATCAATGTTGCGGTGACCAGAGAATTAGAAACGGTAATATGGTACACGACTCAACGGCCTACCGCCTCATAGTGGCTGGGAGGTGTTCTTGGGTGTCGAACTGCGAGGTACAGCGGGGTATTCATCCTCCCGGTAGGCTCTCCGAAATTAAGGAGTCCAGCGTTTCCACCATGAAGCTAACGTAAGAGTGAACCAATACTAGGATCCACCACCGTCATGGTTATCAAACTAGTCGCATGGTGGCAAATCTTCCCCTAATCCACAAGGATGGCGACTTCCTGTGGTAGTGACCACTTGGGAACGACTTTGGCTAGGTTGACCTCGGAACGTCAAGAAACGACAACAACTAAGCCAACAAAACTCCAAAAAAATGGAAATTATACTACACCTGTACGACCAGTAAACACGGGCCAACCAAGTATTCAAGTATGTACACAATGAGTTTTGCACAACAAACAGCGACATCGTCCTGTACATCTTTTTGAATCCTGTGAGGAAAACCACTAGGAAACCAATGTCTGCGTACGGTCTGACAAGCAGACTATTGCCAAGTTGCACAACAACGTCCGAAAACACGTCGAACAACTATTATTACAAAACGTTCAAATAGATTTCAAAAAAACCACGTCATCCGGGATAATCAGCGGCCAATCAAGCAAAACTGTTTCCAATAACTCTAAGCCTATTGCTGAGAGTAACTACGACACTCAAATCGCTACTGAAAAGGCGTTCAAATGACTTAAAGGCCTTTGTAGCCTAAGTCATCACCATGGAGAACATAACAAACATGTATCTCATCAGAAAAGCTGTGAAGACCCACTGACCAATTTTACTTGAATTAATAAAGCTTAATTCGAGCTTAACTATGCGTCCTAATGTTAGTTCAAAAACTAACCAAAGGTTTGTGACAATGTGGCAACAGACATTCATTTCATTGCAAAAACTTACTTGTACGATGTCTCTATCAAACAATCGAACTCGATCCCAGCTGAATTCTGCCTAAACTATCTTTATTGTTATTATTATCACTAGCATTATTACTGTTATTATTACCACTACCTTTGTTCGTTCAGAAAAGAAATGTTTAATGGAAAATCTTAGTAATAACATACAGAGAGCCAACACACCTTCATATTCTGCCTCTTGTGCTCAACAACTAACTTCCAGTAACTCTCAGCGACAAATTTCTCGATCGATTTGTACCTCTCAACGACAAAACCAAGTGTCGGAAATTGACACGATCCGTAGCTAACAACTTGTTTGCCGAAAATAACAACGTTGCAATTCTTTGGCTTCGATATAGTAATTTCAATTGTTCTTGTGGGATTCAGATATGGTGGATCTTAAAATCGATAGAGGCGATAGCACAGAAAAATTAGCCTAGGTAAAAATTTTTTAAACAACCTCGTGGAACCGGATCCGCAAAACAAGGTGCTGATTATTCACGCCCATGTTAAACGAAATTTAACTTTTAAAAAATAGTTCTTATGTCAATAGCTGAAAGGACTGAGTCGACGACATTAATAGTACTGACTGCAATAAAACATAACTACTGAGGAGGGCAGGTGGCGCAGTTGTCGGAGCCGCCCTGCAACACACACGTGGAATCGATCTCCACTCCCATGGCCCACCAAGCCTTCCATCCCTCCAGAGTGGGTAAATTGGTACCAGATTTGTCTGGGAGGGTAGCAGCACTGGCTCGATACATCGGTAGGTCACCGCGAGTCATTGTAAAGGCCATATATGCATTCAATCACCCCCAAGCGATGCTTAATGAAGTCCACATACCATCAACATCCAGCAGATTAGAGAACCGCTGTTGTAGGTGTAACGTTTGCAGTCGAGTAAAAGCAGCTCCTGGAAAGCCTACATATAAAACGGAGCTTGATACGTAGACATTATGTATACATAAGCTTATACAAGTACACTAATTTAAGATACAGCCTCTCAACACGGAATTATTAGAATCCGTCCCTCTCGCATAGTTCTTACAAACTTAGCTTTCTAAACTGAATGATGTATCCATATACCGTATACCTCCAAAAGCGTTCCCACTACACCAATAACATTTCAGACAAACTTCCAGCCAAAACGCTTAAGATTTAGGTTTTCTAAAAACAATCTCACAAAAATACTACTATAACGAAACATTAAGAGATAAGTGCATTAGTACCAATTCGTAAATCCAATTGCGAACGGCAGTCTACTGCGTCAATCATGTTCTGATCAAGCCTGGTTAGATGTCTTGCCGCATATTCAATGGCTCTTGGAGTAATTTCTGAAAACCTAAATGGAAAACTAAGAAGCATTTTAGAGTAGTTGTAGGCAAATTATTTCAACAGCGTATTTAGTCATATTTCCCTTAATTTCTAATTTCCTAAATGGAAGCAGCACGTTCGGTTGTAATAATGACCTTTGCTTACCTTGCACGATACACATCAAGCCTCTGGTTGCTCTTCAAACATACTTTGGCAATTTCAGCTCCTATACTTTCACCTTCACGGTCACAATCTGTCCAGATTACCAGAACATCGCATTTCGCTGATTCCTCTCTTAAACACACTCTTTAACTGGATAAATTCTCTATCACAACTTCAGTAACCTTAACTGATAGCATTTCTACACAAATTCGTGAACTCCTTTGAAGAAATTTTACATTTACCTGTAGATATACATCTCTTTAGTGTCAGAGATTTCAGAGGAAAAAATCTTGTAATAAAACCAATACACCAATTAAAGATGCATTTTACTTCTTACAACCTTCGTTAAGGCAGACGTTGTGCTCAATATTTGGAGGACCGCCTCTGGAGGAGAATAGTGGGCAGGTCAGTGTTGATTTGCAACTCTATTAGGTCTAATGCTAAAGTAACTTTGCGGAGAAAATTCGAAGACCTTTTGAGTGAATCACATAACACAGCTTTAATAGCGCACAAAAATATCGCTAAGGAACATCAAACAGATCACAGTAGGATAGGTAATGTGCAAGAAAATTCAAGGCTAACCGTGTTAGGAGGAATGACTCTCCCTGACGGTGCGCGCTCGTTATTAGAATTGGGGACGAGTTTCTCACCATCTGAACCCATTTCTAAGATAACCTTGCGTAGGGTCGCATGTGGTTTACATGAACTTCGAGATAGACTCCGCAAAAAGCTAGAGATGAAGCGCTAAATAGGTGCGAACAACACCAAATGGGGGCCCTACAAATAGCACCATTTCCTCAACTGTTCTTTAGACAACAAGAGCCCAATAAGGAAGTTGATGTTAATTTTCGGATGTTTGCGAATGAACCTCTCAAAGACTTTAATCACTATCGCGCGAAAAGATACAGCTCAAACCTCACTCCAGTGCAAAAACGTGGTATGCGAGAGGTACGAGAGCTGATAAAGTTGAAAAACATAAGACTATCCGTTAGTGATAAGGGTGGAGAGTTTATCGTAATTCCTCATCAGTTAGATGTAGAGATAACGAAAAAGCATCTTGAAGATTTGTCCTTTGCTCAACGCAAGAAAAAACGGACAAATGTTTCGAATTGTTAAACGCAGAGTCAGAGTATATCAAAATCACCCGAGAAAAGCCGAAAGAAAAATGGCTTCCATTTTTGAACGTACAAATTCACCTATCAGAAAATGGCTACATTACAAAATGGTACCGAAAGCCAAGTAGTAAAATTATCTTGGTTCATTACCTCTCCTCTCACCCCTCTCACACGAAAAGGGCGCTTATAAGAAACATGTTTCGAACAGCAACCAACGTGTGCACGGGAGGAGAGCAAAGAGAGGAGACCCGGAACTTGGCACGGTAAATGGCCATTTCTAATGGCTACGAAACTGTCGCTCAGGATAGGTGTAGAGGAAACCACAGGTGCCCCAACGATAACTCTAGCGACAATAAGGTCCCGTTTACACTGCTCTTCATCTCAAATGATGTAAGTACAGCTATAAAACGCTGCTTAAGAAGGGCGGGCTTAGAGAATTCGGTAAACGTAGTTGAAACACCACCGAGTAGGCCCCAGCTAGTTCGTAACCGCCTATATGACCGTCTATGTGCAACTCAAAATTGCATAATTTGCCCCAGTGGTAGAGACGGTGATTGCATGAGCTCGGGTATAGTTTATCTGATCTCCTGTAAGACGTGCGGTGACGAATACATTGGCGAAACGGGCAGATCCCTCTGTGTCCGCATAAAAGAACACCTNCTTAAGCGCCAGCTAGTTCGTAACCGCCTATATGACCGTCTATGTGCAACTCAAAATTGCATAATTTGCCCTAGTGGTAGAGACGGTGATTGCATGAGCTCGGGTATAGTTTATCTGATCTCCTGTAAGACGTGCGGTGACGAATACATTGGCGAAACGGGCAGATCCCTCTGTGTCCGCATAAAAGAACACCTAGCCGGCAAAAATAGACCAAATACCCCGCTGGCACGCATAGGACCCAGAGACATAACGGGGACGACTTCGAAGTATGTGTCACGATCCTCGCACGCGAATCAAGAACACAGGCGCGAAAAACTCTCGAGGCACTCTGGATTAATTCCAGAAATTCGAAAATGAACCGCAGGGAAGAATGCCTCATTATCACGCGTGATATAGGGCAGTATATAAAACTGCTTTTCTGATGTGAGGGGCACATTATACTTCCACGTGATTTCTGTGCGGTTGGTCTCTACGTGACATACTTAGTGGAAACCTCATAGGAAGCGGTGAGTGTGCAAAGCTGTGTTCAAAGTGATTGAAATCTTGGTTTGGAGTTTTTTTGTTTGGTTATGGAGGCGTCTGGCCGAGTGGATTGCTATCAACTTGACCTTTCCAGGCTCTGAAGAAGGCGAAATCCGCCGAAACGTCAGCAATTGTGTTCTAATAAATTCTATATTAACAACCTCGTGTCTGCTTATTGATGAAAAACATTGAATTATCAATTAATGCCGAGGTTAACAGAAAGTCGGTCATGGGAATGTCGAATTTGTAATTCAAATTTCCGTGTATGTTTAAGTAAAATCTTTTTTCGAACTCCTCAGTATTACATATCTTTGTAAAACTCACTTTTTTGCTTCAAATCATTGAATTATGACACGAATTGTACTCTCGACAATTTTCAACGGTTAAAATCACAGAAGTCAAGCAAAAATGTCCACAAATTTTACTTACTTGGATACTTCGATGGCGCGTCCTCACTGATTGTGGGGACCCCAGCAAAATTTCCACATTTCAGAGTTTTGCTAACTTAGCCATTGTGGTTCCCTGGAGTCCTGAGGTCAACCTAGCCAAGAGCTGCCTCTGGTGGGCACGACGCCATGCAGTCGCCGCCTTTGTGGACCAGCGGGAGATTTGCCATCAAGCGATAGTTTGATAGCAGGACAGTGGTGGATCATGGCATTTTTTACCATTGGATCTTGGTATTTTGACTCGGTGGTCTTCTCAATTCGCTACTATACAGTTCAGATGTGTGCTGACACTTCAACCACATCGAAAAGGCATCTCATTACCTACACCTACAAATGCTTAGATGAAGGTTTCTCTAATATGAGATAGTGAGAAGACCATTAAGACGACTACGAAGTTAAGACCTTCTATAAATACTTCGTATTCAAGGTGCAACATAGACCAGTCACATAACTATAAGGGATGACGACAGCTAGACAGGAACGGATGCTAGAGGCCCTTAAAGTCGAACGCCCACAAGATTGTCCTACCTTTTTGAGCTTCCCATAAAGCTGCACTCGCAAGTGACAAGGATTCAAAGATTATATAGTGAATGAAATGTTAGAGTAGAAAATTGCTATCGAAAAGCTCGGTATAAATAATAACCAATATACATTTTTTTCTTTGGTAAGCTTACAACTTATTTATCAATCTCGTGCGAGGTTAACAAAGAAAGAACACAGTTTATCAACAGTTTAAGGAAAGAATTTCTAAAATGATACCGGCACAACTAACGTCAAAGTAGTAGCAATGTCCTTCATCCTTTCAGGGATTGAACTGTAGATAGGAGCATCGAATAATGAACGAACTGGAACAAGCTAAAAGTGTAAGTTTTTCGGTGCGATGTCAGCAATCGAATGGATTTATTCAAGAAAGTTTGCTACTACTGCAGTGTTTATATCTGCTCAAAGCAGTGATGGAAAACTTACGTTCCAATTCTTCATATCTGGAGGAAAAACATGTTCCATAAGGTGACCACAAACACTTGTAACGGACAACGTTGCTTTCTAAATTACCAAGGCTCGAAAAATCAAATCTGTAGTGGCAAAATAACTGCACAGAAAAAGATCAACTTACCTGCCCCAGGATGTCCGCATTTAGTTGGTAGATCTTGTTATACATCGACCGCCCCTCACGACGAACCATTTGGCCTAAAGGAATTCAAAATTAATAGAGCATCGTGACCCAAATGTCCCCTATATCCCAACAGCTCATCAGTGGTGAAGGTACACGCGTCATTACCCATTAAAATATATCTGTACTAGGACAAAAATAAACAATTCCATTTAAATCTAAAGAAAGTGTAAAACCAAAACATAAACAGAAGCAACTGACAGAATGTTTTATCCGTTCCAAAAAGTTTTCAAGGCTATAATATGCTAAGATTTAGAAAACAATGTGTTAAAAAAGTGTTAACGCTTATGTGACTCCGTGACCTTTAATAAGAATCATAAAAAGATTAAAAGGATAACGCTCTCTGCGTTGATCAATCCTTTAGAGATGCGCCATGCATTCACCTTTGCTAAGCATCGTTAGAGTTGACTGAATGCGTATTTAACTTTTACAATGACTCGCGGTAGCTCACCGATGTGTTCGAGCCAGTGCTGCTATCCTCACAGACCAGTATGGTACGAATTTGCCGACCCCAAAGTGATAAAGCTTTGGCGGACCTGGAGCGCTGGGATCGATCCCATATGTATTAAATGGTGCTGTGTACACTGCGCTTCACACTCCAGTCATATAAGAGTCATATGATACGAAAACACTGGTCGCTTCTAATTTTAAAACAAGATAACCCATCTTACAGTGAACGTGCTTAGTTGCAACAAAAACTATTACAACTATCCACTATTACTACAAATACGGCACATCTTTGCCTATAAGAAGTTAGAAGAAGGAAGAGTTTTTTGTTTTGACAGGTTTCTGGGAAATTCATTTCCGATCTGAGCAAATTCGATAAGTTTTCTGCGAATTCAAACCTGGACTTGGTGCAGAGCAAATAGCTCGGAGCTCTAATGAGGCATGGGAACGAAAAAAATGTCAACGAATGACTCGCTATAAACATCTCAACTATTTCGAGACACTCAAACAGCATTAGAAGGTACAAGAAACTTAACCTACGAATGCTGCTCGATATGAATGGCAACAAAGAAATCGTTACTTCGTGGCATCATCGGTGATTCAGGGAGAACAAGCCGTCTCTCGACTATCAACGAAGTCCTGGCCGAAAACACCTTCAACAAATTCATTGTCTCCAGAAGTTCAGAGCTCGTTTCTCATTGGCAAAAACATGTAGACACTAATGATTTTCACTTCGACCAATAAAGTTTGTTCTGAATTAAGATATACCATCTTGAAAATAGAGATTGGAATTAGAAATTAATTTTCTCATAACCCAATGTTATGGTGAAATTTTGGTTTGTTTTCTGGATCCCATGAAACCCTTTCTTTCCCAGTTCTTCTTCGTCGAACATTGAAGGAATTATCGGACTTTCGTCCAGCAGGACTCAATGGTGTTCCGCTGTTCCATAAGTATGTCCTTGGTTTTTGCGGCTATTGCACTTGCCTAGGAAATATTAAAAATCCAAATCTCGTCTTGAATTCTATTCGAAAATTTTGATTCCAAGCGAATATAAAACTGATAGAACATATTATGAAAACTCTGTACACTCTTAGAGCGCTACAGCACAGACTTTTCTTTGATTCCCACGATCGACTCTCTATTAACCTTGGCAATAAACGCTATTTTCACTGCTCTCTTGATGAGCAGATATGAGGTTGTTACTGCAATATCTATTTCGCGTAGTTAAGATTTCGCCAAATTCAGCTTTTCTCAAAGCATGGGAGGGTCAAGATGACGTACAATCTAATCAGCCAAATAATTCGAACTTCGAGTATTTCGAGCAGTTACAAATTTGTGTACACGAAGAGACGAAGGAATCGTGTGATATGGCGCCAAATAGTTGTCTTCATAGGATTGGCTGCGCCTAGGTTTAGAGATTAGAGAAATCGTGTTGCAAAGAATAATTCCAGTAGAAATAAGACCTCGCTTAAAACATCCTTCATTCCCAAAGAAGTATGCACTGCTCTTCTCCAGAGCCTGGAAAGGTCAAATTGATGTGCAATCTAGTTCAATCAGTGCTTCGGTAACACCAACAGAAAAATCCGGAGCCCTAATTCCACTCTCATGGGAAGCAGCTTTTTCTAAGTCACTGTCTTTCACCATTCCTCATAAGGCTTCCAACTTACTGACATAGACCAGCCGCATAGTCTACATGGGTGACCAATGTGTCTGTCTCAGATAAAAACTAGCCTAAAGCATGTGACAAGGTCACATCTGCTAACAATGCAGTAAGTTATGGATTCGGATGCGAGGATAGCGAGTTTTAATTCGAAAAGTTCTGTGTTACGTTTCTTTGTCCCATGCGTGTTTAGCAAAGAATTCTACCTATATTTGGTTTACCTTCCAAATACTCTTTTACAAGGACACACAACGGTCTTCCCATTTCGCCAACGCACTCGCCCCCGCTTTCCTCTAAAGTTGTGAACTTTTCGAGTCTTCCACTCCTCTATTACTTAAGAAATTGTCATGTGTATTCGAAAAACCAGCATCATAACTCAGGGATAAGGGTGGTCCTATTGCCAAGCATGTGAGCGAAGGACGACTCATCAACATAATTTGACTTCGCCAACTCCAATATATTTTCAGACAACTCTTTGAAACACGAGAAGATGGTCGAGTCACAATAAAACAAAACAGTACGACAGCATACGTTTACACCGATGCAGAAGGTCAGTGCAAAAACGGACAGTATGCATCCACCTTGATGCATACTCCACAGACCAGTTCTTTTTGACGCGAAGAATTCTCTATGGTTTTTGCATTCAATAGATCGCTTATTCAATACACATGGTGGGAGGCATGAGAGCCAATAAAGAACGAATTCAATCAACTGATGGTTCGAGGACAGAGCCTCAGGCCGTTTGAAACGATGGATTTCGCCGTCCTTCGGTGTTCCATGAGCACATGATCACAAAATTCTCGAGTATTTTGAAGACTATCCATTTTGAGATGATGCTGATATATTTGCAAAACTCCGGACCGCAGGTGTCTGCGGTGAGGAACGAACGCGTTATTGTCCTTTCCGGGTCTCTAGTTTTGCAAATATCTCAGCAACGTTGTGGTTGTATTTCGCTTACTTAGTAACCTGCCATGAAAATTATAGAAGGCAGAAAACAAAACGTTAAACATTGTGATTTCAACTACAGCCATAGCTTAACTGGGTTCTATGCCGATTTGCGCTCCCCAGATCAACCCCGCTGACGGGTGATTGCTGTGGCAAAAAGATCGATAGAAATAGCTGAGAGACGTGCGAAACAAAGGACCCGCATGGTGTGGTGGTGAACGCGTTACTCCCCGGAAAGGACAATAGCGCGTTCGTTCCCCACCATAGACATCTGCGGTCCAGAGTTTTGCAAATATCTCAGCAACGTTGTGGTTGTATTTCGCTTACTTAGTAACCTGCCATGAAAATTATAGAAGGCAGAAAACAAAACGTTAAACATTGTGATTTCAACTACAGCCATAGCTTAACTGGGTTCTATGCCGATTTGCGCTCCCCAGATCAACCCCGCTGACGGGTGATTGCTGTGGCAAAAAGATCGATAGAAATAGCTGAGAGACGTGCGAAACAAAGGACCCGCATGGTGTGGTGGTGAACGCGTTACTCCCCGGAAAGGACAATAGCGCGTTCGTTCCCCACCATAGACATCTGCGGTCCAGAGTTTTGCAAATATCTCAGCAACGTTGTGGTTGTATTTCGCTTACTTAGTAACTATCCATTTTATTTAACATAAAAACGAAATCCTTACTCCACATTGCAGGTCTCCTAAAACAAAAGAAGTTTGGATTCAAAGTTTTACACCTGCAAATCACTTGGACACACGAAAGACTATCGATGAACGGAGGAATGGTGAAGTGGTTCCGCAGAACACGAAATATAATAAGGGGTACACTTGCATAATTTCCCGTTAAATAAAAATCGACGACATTGTGATTTATACAATAACCTTAGCTTAACTGGATTCATGTCGATTTGTGCTCCTCAGACCAATCCCATTGTTGGGTGATTGCTGATAGCGCATATAGGTCAATAACGGCTGAGAGACAGGCAAAACAAAGGACTTGCCTGATGTGGTGGTGAAAGCGTTCGCCACCGGAAAGGGTTATAGCGTGTTCGGTCCTCACCGCTTACATCAACGGTCCGGAGTTTTCCAAATATCTCAGCAACATTATAGTTACATTTTACATAATACATTACCATTAAAAAATAGCAGGTAGTAAATAAAAACTGATGACATTGTGATCTATAGCACAGCTTTTCACTCAATTAAGATAGAAGCAGTCATGGAAGCCTTTCATAGTCAAGGTGTCCCTACTCAGTACATAAATATTATTTTCACAACCAAAATATCGCTATTCCACATCGATATTAACATCAATTTCAAAAGGGGGTTAGGCAAGGCGATTCCACCTCGCAAAAATTGTTTACCGCTACCCTCGAGAACGTCAAGCCAACATTGGAATGGGACAACATAGGAACGAAAATTCATAACGGGCAATTACACCATTTTCGCTTTGCTCATGACATCGTCCTTTTAACACCAAACATTAGCTAAGCGGAACGGATGCTTGCAGACTTTGACAAAACCTATGGAGAGATTGGTCTTCGACTAAATCTCTCAAAAACGATGTTCATTTAGAACGGATTGGTTTCGCATGTCCCATTCATGCTCAACGAAACGAATATCTCCGAATGCTCCAGTTATGTCTATCTAGGTCGGGAAATCAATATGATGAACGACCTAGCTCCAGAGCTGAGCAGAAGGAAACGAGCGGATTGGAGAGCTTTCAAGGGCATCGAGGGTGTAGTGAAGAGAACAAAGAACACCCAACTCCGTGCTCACCTTTTCGACTAAACGGTACTTCATCCCCTAACCTATGCGTCAGAAACCTGGTCGCTGCGTAAGCAGGATAAAATACCACTCAGCGTTAACAAAGGCTCAGTCGAAAGGACGATGCTAGGAGTATCCCGTGTCAAACAAGTGGGACCCGAAGCTCCGACCTGCGTCAACGGTCAAAAATCAAAGATGCCGTTCTATACGCCAAATTGTCTAAGATAAAGTGGGCCGGACGTTTGTGATTGGAATTCTCGAGACTTGAAGACCGCCGACTCGATGATCAAAGTTCTCCACACCAGATCCCACTGGTCCAATCTTGGATTGTACATGGAAACACGTAAGGCTTACTGGCTCCTGCTCGATTGACTGTGCAATTAACACGACACTAGATAATACAAAAAAGCGTGAGACACCACAAGACATAAGGTAATGAATTAAAGAGATTCCATCCGTCTATATCTTCAACCATCTCGAGTCCTTTCTAAATCAAAGGTAAATTATTGCTCTAAATACTTAATAAAATTGATGAATAACCACATTGACAGAACCCAAATGATTAGTCTACGACAAAAGTTGTAACTGAAACTAATCAGCTAAGATGGTATTCTGAGTTTCTTATCTGATCTCATAACCGTTGCACTTCTAGAATGAAACTCTCTTAACTTAATACGTTTAACTTTTTACACTAACCTCACCACAGCGGCTTAGTGAACGCAGCTTACGTAAGTCTAGGACATGGAAGTTTTTACAATTTCAAAATGACTTAAGAAAAAGTTTAAGAATTTAGGCACCTTTTGACAATATTGCTGCGACTCCTTTTGCTACATCGTTCTTCTCTGCGACGCATAGTACCCTCCTCATCTCGAAAGATCAGATGAAAAGGTTAAAAAAAGTGAATAAATTAGCAACCTATGAATAACTTATGTAAGTTCGTAAAACCAATTATAGAAAATTGTTTCTTTGGAAAAATACGGGAAGAGTGTCGAACAAGTGACAGATCTTAAACAGAAGTACAGAATTCAGAGCGGAAAGGATTTTATCATCATCACAGATCCTTGCACCACGATAAAAGTAAAGCTCTACAAAACAGCTGTCAGGTATTGTTGTCTTGAGACGGATTAAGATCATTGCTCACAGGCGCTTCCCATCTCGTTGAATCCTTAATGACTCTCTATAGTAAAATAAGAATAACATTCTAAGTTATATGAAAAAAAACTGGCTTTCGAAGTAAAAACAGAAATATTCTGAGTCAAAAGGTTACGTCTGAACTCTCAGTGAAATTTCGATCAAATGAAGACAATATTTGTGGTTCGAGATCGTCCATCCATTCCATGTCAATATTTTCACGATATCTGAATAAACGAAACGTGAAAAACACTAAAATATTTTAAAAATTTCAAAAAATAATTACCAAGACAAACCTGGATACTAACCACTATACTACCGAGGAAAGGGTGCGTGTGGCACAGAGGTCGAAGGCGCAACGCACACATGGGGTCGATCCCCGGCCCCTTGGACAACCAAGAATTCCATCTCTCCGGGGTCGGCAAATTGGTACCAGACTTGTCTGGGAGGATAGCAGCACTGGCTCGATAGATCAGTAGGCCACCGCGATTCATTGTGAAAGCCAGATACGCATTAAATTACCTCCAAACGATGCTTAATAATGTTGGATGCCGCTCAAGAAGTGATCAACACCGAGAGTCTTATCCTTTTTTTAAGATGAAGTCAAGATGAAACTTAACATAATATTAATGGTATAGGCCCAATCAAATAAACCTTTTTACATAAAACATACACAGAAAGTTGGTAAATGCCAAAGTATAGAAAAGGTAATAGAAAACGACGACTACACGGAAACTTAGTGTTTTAAAGCACATATCAGACACACTTAAATTTGAAATGTGTTGGGTAGCGCAGTGGTAGCGATGGCATTCATCTCGAGCATCAACAAGCTCCTCACCGTTCTACGATAGGAGAATTGGTAGAAAACTAGTCTGGGAACAAACAACTCCTTCGAAAACACATGGCAACGCTGTAGTACAGCTATCACGGAATTTGAGGGAGAATTGACTCAACCATAATCAATGACATTCACAAAGAAGACTACGATCCTCAAATATCAGCCGAATCCACCCGTGAAAAGTTTAAAGACATTCGCAGAATACGGATGCAAGAAACGCTGGGATACACACAATAGATGTGAAGATGGACCACGTAAAATAAATAAAACAAAAGTAAAAGTAGAAAAATTTGTCACTGATCTCATAGGTATAAGGAATCTAGCACCAGTACGCGGTAAGGATATGAAGTTGTCTTTAGGTGGAATACGGACTAAACAAAGAGACTGACCATGAAATCTTTCTAATATACAGTTGGACCAAATTTACCCCCACTGTATCTGTTGCACCGAACTTACACATATCTTCTGTCTACTCATGGGTATACGCATTTATGTACTCGTATGTGCAGATTGCAAAGAGCACATTTATCTACTCAGAAAGATGAAAACACATTTGGAGCTCACTCGAACCACTTAACAATTCCACTAACGATTTTCTGTATTAGAAGACATCAGGAAGTTTAACTGAACCATAAATATTCACTCACAAACACTACCGATGACCTTTATTTGATCTTAGACCGTAGTTAGCTCACATGATGGACAAAAAAAAACACATGGAGTCTAACCTGCTTTTCCTCGTCGCAGGACCTTTGGAACCACCCATTCGGACGTGATGATTTTCGATGTGACGATCCAAGTTACGTTTTGTTATAGTTGAATAACCACAGGATGGGCATACATACGGTTTTTCACCTGTGTGCGCTCGAACGTGAACCTTCAACGATGAACTTGACCTAAAAACGAAATAAAAGCAGGTAATTTCTAAATAAAAAAAATGATGCGGAGAAATAAGCAAAGGATACAAATTGCTAACCTAAATCTTCTCGAACAATATTCACAAGCAAATGGAAGCTCGCCAGTATGAATCCGGTAATGTGTGGAAAAATTGTGCCGATATAGAACCTAAGCAAGTTATTTTCAATGTAATGTCATGTACATTTGGCAACTAAAAGCAAATACCAATCCGCAGGTTGGACATTCCATTTTTGGTTTGAATGGATCGTCATTTGCGTTTGCAAGAGCTCCAATGACTTGAGGTGTTGTGGTCATGTGATTGAATGACGTACATGCTACTGAAAAAAAGGATAACTCTTTCAAAACCGGAAACCCACCATTTTATTCACTAAAATGATATATATATATAAATATACATATGTATGCATCTGTACATATATGCATACACCTGTTTACCTATTTGTATACTTTTACATGCATTTTGTTTTTATCCTTCTATATACATACATATACACATCTGTACGCATATGCATTATATACATATAAAACGTAAACAAAGTTATACTGGTAAAGTAAAAACCTTCTGATCTATTTCAGGCAGAAGCACCATGTATGTGTATCTGAGGTGAGAAATCAATATAATGAACGACCTATCTTCAGCACCGAGCAAGGCGGAAGAAGACGATTGGGGAGCTTACAAAAACATTGACTATGTAGTGAAAGAACTACCAACTCTGGGGTACTTCTTCTACTTTAGAATCCTTTCTGTTTCAACACACGCCTCGAAAACCTGGTCTACGTAAACAAGATCACAGATAATTTAGCATCATCGAAAAGGCAGTCGAGTGAGCAATGCAGATGTATCCCGTAAGACGCAGTTATGAAAGATTCTCAAGCTCCAAGCTAGACCGGTGATCAATGCTCAAAGATGTAAAATTATACAAACCCAAATCTCTGTCAGCGACGTCATTGGAATCCAACTGTAGATCCTCTCCATCCCATGAAATTTCAGCAGGAGTATCAGAAGAATCAACATCCCCATTGACCGTCTGCAAATTTGCTGTCTCCTCCACACTCAGAGGAGGTGGAGATTCTACGGTCTAAAATCTATTTAAAAAACTTGTTTCTCTGCATCCTATTAACGTCAATTTCGCAACAGCGTACCTCGCCCTTTTCAACGGAGACAACAAGTTTTAGTCCACTAGGTCCCTCCAATGTCTGTGCTTGACTTATATCATCATTCTTGCTGAAATAATGAACAATTTAATTAATGCATGAACACATTCAACAGATGAAACGCCTATGAAAATGACCTGCTATATGTGATAAGTTTAGGATGGTACACATCTTCCTTAACATTCAATGTTCGTTCGTCTGTGCCATTAATATCACCTTCGGACTGTTCTTCACCCACTTTTAATGTCACAAATTCCTCGCGTTCAACCGTGTTAGTTTTCTGCGATGAATAAATCTTTCCAAACAATCCTTCAAAAGTCCTAACTAAAATCAACTAACTCATTGGGTCATAATCATTAAAACTAGTGCAGTACACTTGATGCTAAAAGTAATACGTACCTTAATGGTTATTCCAAATCCTGCAGAGGAATCTTCAGTCACAACGTTGTCGTTTACAGAAATCTCAGATGTGCGAAATACGCTTTGTCGTAATGCAGGAACTTCGCTGAATGCGGCTATCACCTCGCTTTCAAACGCTTCCATGATACACGCTTCCGCATGAATATAAAGTTGCTCCTGAACATTAATAAAAAGATCTAGAGAAAAAGTTTAAGTTCTCAACAGTTAAATGTACAATTCCTAAATTTGCGTGACTGGCCTATCTATCTGACGCAAAGATCTTAAGTACACTCGAACTTCTAGTGGCTCATTTCGAGATACCTGCTTCCCACAGAAAATGACCGTGCCCCCTTTGTTGTACTATGTATTCTTCTATTGAATTCAGTTTTTCGTATCTCCTAAACATTATCCAATGTCTATGTATACTTCCCACTAACGTAACTATTTCAATTCCTATGTGCGGTCTGACAGAAATGTCGTCCATCATACAACTACGGCTCTGTCAACATTTGGTAGACGGTTTCAGAACAAGCACAAACCATATCGGTCATTTCCTTAGCCATTTTACACGATGATCATGACTATCATAGTTATTTGAGAACAAAATAACAAACAATTAGAAGTCAAAAGCGAACTGTATATAACTATTATATAACACACGACAATTTTTTAAATCAAATTAAAACACATGGAAAAACAACTTTTACCTATGGTTCTGAAAGTCTTTGTAACTTTTCCAAAACGTCAACTAATTTTATTTGAAATGAAAAAATATGAAAATGAAAGTTTGAAATTTCATAGTCTCAGGGACAAGCGAAACAGCTGCAAGCACCAACGATACATTATGAAACACAAACATAGTCTGCTGGACAAAATTTCGCCTGCTGAATCGCTTTGCAGTTCCAATAATAGGCTTAGACGATGAAAATACGTTTTGTGCGCTTCAGAAAGTCAGTACTTTACGAAGTCAAGATAAGGAAAGACCTGAAAAGAAGATAAGGAAAGAAAGCAAATACCGGTATATTCTAATAGATCTTATTTTACTTAATGAAGTCCACAATGAGATGAGACAATGGAGCAAAAATGAAGCGTTCAGAGCTGTTTAATTCCTGAGGGATGCGCCATGCATTCGACATCATCAAACATAGCTGAGGTGGCTGAATGCATATGTGAAGGGAACTTCGAAAAATGACGAAATTAGTTTCGTTGTTGTAAGATATTAGTGACAACTCAAGACCTAATCTCTCCGAATGTCCAAAGTGACTCAACATTAGATACAGCCAATAGAACAACTATTTTCGTCAAAATTACTCCAATGACAGCAATAAAACGGTTTACTTCAGAGCTGGAAGGCATTAATAGTTGCAAAAAAAATCTTTAAAAATACAAGAATTATCTATTATACTAATTAAAAACCTATTTGAGCATGACATCTATAAAATAGGGAAAACGCTATCGGCATACGGGTTCAAAACAGGAGAGCGTGGAAACAAGCTGATCGTCATCTACCCCTTTTACAGACAAATAGTTTCGATGATACCAAATATTTTCACCTACTTGGACCCCATGTGTTGAAAATATGACCGTTTTAAACCTTCCATGACGAAAAATTCCCTATTAACAGTGAAACATCAGTGCAAGCAATACCTTGATAGTATTAAAAAACATCCAGTTCATCAGAAACCCAAAAACTTTTCGTGAGGACTGAAAACCATAAAGGCATCGCTGGCCGTAAATTTTGGTAAGCTGCGATAACAACCAAAACTGTTATGGCGAAAAACATGATCAAATTCCCTGTATAAACTGCGTATTACAATAAAGATCAGCTCATAATTAAAGATGTTACCTTGTGCTTGAACTTTCGATGACATTCCGTACAATAGAATAAACGTCTAGGCGTAACAGTTTGTGTGGCTCCGGCTGCAGCCAGTACCATTGCTGTAACATTGATACAAAGATAGCCGTAATATTGCTAATCGATAAAGGTTCCACACTTTTCAAGAACATTTCCTCAACATAATAGTCTGTGTAGAAGCAACACACCAACAATAATGACTGAAATATTGATACCTTCTACTTACACCATCTATGAGATAAAATTTTTTCGCATTAGTAAGAAAGTAAAAAAACCTTTGCAACACAGACGGAGCATAATTGCCAAACAAGTCTGAATACCACACGAGGAACAACAGACCACTCAGATTAATGTAAGATTTCATGAAATGTTACTTCATTCCCGAAAACAAGAGAACAGAAAAAGAGTACAAATTCTATTTACGAACAGTGCATAGATAATACATACAAAAACAAGCTTCTGTAAATGACAACGAAATTTTAACAATCTCGTAACGACGCCAAATTTTTCGCTGTGCTCGCGTTGACACTTAAAGGTGTCACACCGGCCACTTTGCCAGTTTTTGTGAAGCGCGCTCCATTTTTTTTTGTAATTTCCACTCAATAGATACGTTTTCTCTGCGTTTCGTAAAAATTTCTGCGCTTCTCTTACCCTATTCATGCTCCATGTTCTTCTACACACCTTCCTATGCTTTTGATAAATATACAATTCTTGTGTATGAAGGAGAACACTCGTCCGCCAGGTTGTCATAGTGCTGTGAACATTTAACAGAATTGTATAAGTTCTGCAAGGAGTATTACGATTCTTACTTTGTGGTTCTGATATCCTCTCATTCCGTACAATACCCAGCCAAAATAAACCACCAGAAGGAATATGACAACTTTGGGTGTCTTACTGCCACTTCTTGCAGGGCTCCTACAACAACTACAGTTTCCATTCGTTCCGAGACTGTTAAAATACCAACATACTAATATGATAATACGACATGGAATGGGAAGAACAGTAAGAAAAACCAAGGCAAAACCAACTAAACTATGCAGAACATCAAAGCAGTAACAGAACGTATCTTAAAAACGAAGTGATCAATAGATAAACCTCTCTGGCTTTTACAAAGAAGCCCAATTAATCGTTTCTCGGCCCATACGCGTAAGCTCAGCATTCGTTTTTGAAAAACATTTGCATCCGAACCACTTGTGCGCGCTTAGTGGTGAAGGGTGGGCTGTCTGCACAACTCAACATGATCAATTTTACGAAAAAAAAAAAAACAAAAAATAAATGTACCTTGATAACGGCGTGCTTTTTAAGATCTATGAGGCCCTGTTTCTTCTGTGCAAAGCTGCCCCACAGAAGAAACACAACTCCAGTGCTCTTCTGAGAAATAAGGCTGATAACCCTATCTGTGAATGTTTGCCAGCCGATCCTCTCATGCGAATTCGCTTTGCCAGACCTTAAGAGGAGTGCCTTTTCAAAAACGCTGTTATAGACCTAGACATTCATAAAATTCAATAAAACTGACTCAACGGTCAACGTTGCATTCAGCATGAACACTCCCTGAAGAGCCCAATTTTGAAGAAATCCGTGGCCTGGAACAACAAATCCAGGAATGTCTTCACTCAGTTCCTGAATAAATTGGAAATCCTAATGTATAAGTACGCTGGATATATTAAAAGAACTAACCCGAAATATATTTCTCAGTGATGGAGGAGGCATAACACCCTTTTTCACGGAAAAACACATGCCATGAGCCTGAAAAAGCTGAAGTATCCTAGGCTCTTTGATCTAATTGCTTATGATGATAACATACTTGCCCAACGCCATGATAGGGGTCCTGTCCAATGATAACAACTCGAATACTTTCCAGAGATGTGAAGTTGAACGCAGAAAATATCTCATGTCGTGGAGGAAAAATCGTGACGTTCTGTACTTACGACAAAATCCTACTCATATAACAAAAATTCACAGTTTCATCTTTCGAAAGGTATACTGATGAGTTATTCAACACCAAACAGCTTAAAACCAGCCACCAAGACTTAAAAAAATGAAATTTACTACAGGTGGCTTATCATACCTTAGCATACTGCGCACGAAGAAACGCCTCAATGTCTTTCATGTACTTCTTGTCAAACTCATCTTTCAGAATAGAACGCCATCCTTTCTGGGTTAAAAGCTCGAAAAGGCAGAAACTGGACCCACTATTTGTGCTACATACATCGTTCTCTTTCTGCACCTAAAATTAGGATCCGCTTATACAGAAATGTGTTGTGGCTCGGGATTTAGAAACCATACCTCCTGCACCATATCCTTCACTCTTTTGGCCTCTCCATCAGATGAAACAGGAACGTTTACCTCACACTTTCTTTTCAGCGCACGTAGGAACATTTCTGGCACCTTGGCCGTTGGTGATGAAGACATAGCTAGTAAAACTGCGGTCTGCTCTACTCCAAAATCATTAAAAAACTGCTCCAAACTCGTTTAAAAAGAAGAACATTTTAGCCAACTGAGGTAGAAAGGACTTCCGAAATACGGATTTCTAGACAGGAAACACTCATAACCAATACTCATTACACAACCGTATAAGGCAGTTACAACACAAAAAAAATTAACAACATTGTTACATTTCTGAAAGCGATGAGAACATTTCCAATAAGTGAACCGTAGACCAATCGAAACATCATTGTACACAGCAAAACGTAACGGAGAGAAAAAGAAACTACGAGATCAAACACTAACCATGGTTTCAATAATGGTTAACAGAACATTACCATTACAAAAAATTACTCTACTACCTGAAGAACGGCTATATGTATGTATAGATGAAATTACGTGCAAAAGACAACCTTTACAATAAAACGGGCGTAAAAGTTTATGCTCCACCAACTTGCTAGTGACAGAAGAAAATAGTAAACAATCACAAGATCTCATAGAGATCAGCTAGTTGAGCGAATGAATAACGTACGATAAAGAATACCGGGTTTAGCGTTTTGAACACAACAACCGACATCCATGGACAAACGGTAAATCGGAACAAATTGACGAGGAGCTTGTAAACAATGGATAAAAGCATACAGCTATTCATATGACTAGACAACGCCCAGAGAGGACGGCAGAAAATACACCGTTTAAATTCGCGATATGCATGAATGGCTAGGGCCAGAAGGCGACGCAACATGACGAGGAAAAGCACTATGGTCACCGATATTGGGAACTAGGTGGAGGCAAACTAGCAGCTGCCCCACTACTTTCTTCCTTAATAACAGCAATATTGTGCGCCTCCGGTAACAAGCCGTTGAGCAACGGGAAACAAGACATTGAAGACACTGAAAACAGAGTTTTAATTAACCGACCTGGTACTCACTAGAAACATGAAAACAACTACCGGAACTAATAGGACACGGCTCTGAAGTAGGTGGACCTATCGATACAGAAGGTAGCAGCGTTGCTGCAGAGGCTAAACAGTGAATCACTCCTTTAAAATCCCAAATTAGTTAAAACCGAGAGAAAAAATAATGAATAATTTTGTTGAACTAAACTCTTCTAGGATCTAACTACTGTAGGATGTAGAAAGAGATTAGACTATGAATGCGTAATGAAAATTACATGCAAGATTATCCCCATTGATAGGATGACTGCAAATATTCGGAGACGGCTGAGTAAATTCCGTACATGGCGGCTGGCAACCAAAAGAATCTTTAGAAAAAGATTTGGATAGTGATGCCTGCTGATTTGGAGGCTCGCTTGCATAACATGGTGCCATAGTGGTAGGAGATGTTGTTTCCACTGTAACAGCTCCATTAAAAAAAACCGCAATTGGAATCATTAACATTTTTTACCTCGAACTTTTGCCATTATAGGACGAGTATCAACAAGTCCTGTTCGGCTTGATGAACAGAAAGTCTGAGTTTGATGAAACACATGCGATTGCTGTTGTCCCAGCACATTCGAGGGAACAACACGAGCGAGAGTAGTGCGCAAGTGTTGCTGATGATGAGTTTGTATATTAGATGATCCTAAGTGTGAGACGCTGTATGCGGAAGCACTTGATGGAATAGATCCTGAGGCTGCCACACTCTCATCCGAAGAAGTAGGAGGATTCAACAATTGTTTCTTAAAACGAAACAGTAAGGAATTATTAATGGACCTCTGAGGTATCGACAGTGAACCTATGGCTGAAAAATTGCAGATATGATTAAGAAATAATAGGACATTACTGACATTTTCGGGATCGTTGACTGAAAAATCACAATCAAATCGTAATGGACATGATAGGAAATTAAACACTGTTGGATGCATGCACGCAAGTTTAAAAAAAGAGCTACATATAAATAGTTACCAAAGAATGTGGGGCAGATGGTGCTGACATAACAGAAGAACGTGCATCGAGCGCAGGAGATTCTGAAGGACTGGGAGTACTGACATTGCTCTCATCTGCGGAGCGTTTCACAACGTTTGATCCTTCTAAGCATTCGTCAGCAGCACGCTTTCGTTGAGCTGGTCGAATACGCCTATCCCAGGAAAAGATTTATAAGCAGAATGGCATGAGATAGAAGGTGTAAAGAAGAGGCTATATAACCAGTTAAGATAATATTGATGTGATTCTGCTTACTTCTTTGGTTTGGGTTTATCATCACACGTCTTATTACTTGCATCCGAATCCTCATCAGAGCTTTCCGAAAACTTCTCAAACTGACCTAGGCGGTCGAGCAGAAAATTCTTATCTCTAGATAATTTCAGTAATTTTCTTTGAAGATTCCTCAACTCCTCTTGATAACACTCGTTTTCCTATAAATACTAATTCATAATTGAACCATCCTATGTATATACCATTACCATATGGAATTCTATCGGAAAAAAACCTATCAGCAGAGAAAACCCACATAAACAAGATATTTGAAGCGTCTTTTCAAAATTCGGTAGGCATCCTTATTTGTCAATGTCATAGTCGACTTATCAGCATCATATAGAGTAGCAAGCGCGCCCGATGCAGTACCAACCATACGACCACTCTGTAGAAAGGGCATACCACATTCAGCAAAACCATACACGAGAAACGTGAAAACACACCAAACGAAGTTGCTGCTGGACTTGTGCTTGCTGTACATGAACCTGTTGAGATTGCCGCTGTTGTTGCAACAACGGTTGTTGACTAAGATGTTGTTGAGCTGCTAGTACGCTACGTAAGGGTAAGTTTGCTTGAGAAGGAAGAATCCCTTGTGGTACCACAACCTACAACACACATATATATGCATATGTATGTATATGTATATATACGTATACATATATGTACATAAGTTTATATATACACATATACATACGTTTAAACACAGCACCACTGAAAAGCATAATAGTATACAAATGTATGTGAGTATAATATATAATGCTGCACGCTTGTTTGCAAGAAGTTTTAAAACATAACACCCGAAGTTTGTTTCTGCACAACAGACAACAATTCTTCGACCACTAGAGTGCTTGAGGAGTCCACAACTTCACAGTTTTACGAAGACAAACTCTTCTCCATCTTATAAGCGCATACATAAACTTTGACAAAATAAAATCTGATGGATTTTAACACATTCGTGACGTGATCTCTGTAGGAGTCATACCTTACGGAAACAAACACCGCTTTAACATTTTAAATCAGCTTATCTCAGCTCATGGTGAGTGCTAGTAACTGAGAAAAAGATTAATCGACATCGACAAATAGTTGCTTAGAGAATAAAACCCTCCAATTTTTTCATGACGAAAATCCGATTTTGCGCAGCCCATTATATAAATTCCTTTCGCTTTATTGCTCCAAGGCTCATAGGCCGAAGAAAGCAAATTAACAAACGGAATTTGATTCTGCGCCACATGGTGTTCCGGTGTTTACAAAACTATCATTTTTCGAAGGCAAACTGCTTAACCAATTTTTTTAAGATTTCAATTCTAAACATATTTAAATCTCAAAGGATACTTTAAAAATACATATGTGATTAATGTAACAGATCGAAATATCCTCCTATAAGGCACTAAGCTCTTGAAACATTCCAGTGGTTAAGAAATTACCGTATGTTTTCGATAAACCTGTTACTTACGCAAACTTTTTAAATCTCTAGAAGTAAAATTCTTGAAGAACAGAAAATGAAACTTAAGATTTCAAAATTCCTAAAGTAAGCCTGGCACCTGCAAACAACAACGATGCATTCGTGGGCATGACGTGTTCTGCAGAACGAAATTTTGCTTACTCAGTTCTCTCTTGTTAGAAACACAATTCTTGACGCAAAAAAGTGGAAAAAGAAATGTTTCACGAACTCCACAAAACTAGAATTCGATTCCTTAGAGAACAGAATTTAGAGAAGATGTACGCTCTAATCAAACAGAGGCAGATTCTAAAAGTTCTCTCAAATGATCAAGTACAACAAACCTGGAGATAAACTGGCTTTAGCGTGAGAGCAGAGATTATTTTCTTGATAAGTGCACTCCGCTCAATTGGGCTTTATGTACCAAAAATATTTTAAGATAAACAAAACCGACAGCAATCGTGATCACCTGTTGGCTGGCAGGAGCCATCCTAGGAGGTGACTGTGGGTGCGTGGAATCCTCAAATGACACCAAACAATAAGTGGTTTCAAGAAGAATTACATGATACAATTTTGGGCATTCTCAAAATAAAAACTTTGGGGAAAAAAGAAACGAAGAAATAAAGCAACCTGTTGGGAAGCAGAAGGACCTGGACCAGACATCGCCTGGGAAGTGCGATTCGCCAAGATCTAAATCGTTTGCAAATGTAGGCACAGCAAATTCGCTAACAACTCAAGTTCACAGCAAAGCAAATGAAGCCCAACTTGTAAAGGTAAACAGCCAGGCTGAAGACAGGAGAATTTAGTCTTAATAACTATACCAACTTAAAAGCAAAATGTGCTATCATCCTCATAAAAGAGGATATAGAAATATGCATAGGTTTATCTGGCTTCATATATATATATATACATATATATATATGTATATATATATACATATATATATATATATATATACTCTCCCAACGGCTCATCGCCTCATCATGGCTAAGAGGTGTTCATGGCTATAGGGTTGTGATGTATAGCGAGGGGAGTCATCCACCGGCAGGGTCTCCCAAGCTGAGAAGGAACCCACCGTTTCTATCGGGAAGCCCAGCTAAGAGTAAATCAATTTCAAGTTCCAATATCATCTCGGTATCAAGTTAGCCGCCTGGTAGCAAATCTCGCTTGATCCTTAGAAGCGGCGATTGCCTGCGGTGGTGACGACCTGAGGCAGACTTTGGCCAAGTTCCCCTTGGGACTCCAGGAAACCACACGCTGAAGTGCAAATTTCCGAAGAATAGAAATTATGCTGGGAGCCTCACAACCAGTTAAGACGAGCCA